GGTCAAAATTGGCTAAGCTGAATTATCAATCCCCTTACTCGTAGAGCCACCGGAGAAATCAGCAGACGCTCCGGCGAGGCTGAGGGATCCAATTCCAGAAGAGGAGATCGAGGTGGGAAGAGGAGAGACAGAAGAGTTGTTGCCATGCTCAGAGCTAGGGTTTAAAGACGAATCTGAAGGAGAAGAAGAAGACTTGTGACCTTGAATTTGCGGAGGAGGCAAGATGGACATGAAAATTTTAGGGATTGGAAAAATAACTTCGCCGGCTCAGAGCCACCGCTTCTCTCTGTTCTTCTCTGCAGACACTTCGATTTGATTTTTTTTTTTTTAACCCAAAGGACAAAACATGTCCTTTCTCTTTTTTATTTCAATAAAACAAAAACCCGTACCCGACTCGGATCTGTAAACCCGACAATATGATTCCTTTCGATACGGGTGGATATACCGAATCTTACCGGGACATTGGTGCATGTTACTATCCAAATTTATGTTTGAGTAAAAAATCGTATAGGAAATGGTATCAATGTTGTTAGTTTTTCCCGCATTTGTAAAAGGTCTTTTTTAATGAATAACCAAAAAAAAATATATTTAAAAAATTGGTAAAAATGGGGTATGTGGCACAATCTTGGCCATTGAATTTAGGTTTTTTTGTTAGTTTTTAAATTATCATTTTTTTGTTGTATTAATGGCAAATTATCCTTTGTAAAATTGGTAACAATCAACACAATTTTACAATTATTTCAACAGAGTTCAGCAATAATGCTGTTAGTATTGCATACTACATAATTTTATAGTTTTAGTCTTGCATTCATGATCATTCAATAATATATCATCAAATATCAAATACTAAAGCAAATGAGGATATATTTATTAATCACTTATTTGTTTGTATACGTTCATTTTGAATTCGTTTCATTTTCATTATTTGTCTATGCAAGTTTTTTTTTCTGATAATGATCACATTTTATTTATCGATTAAACGAATACATTTTCGAACTAAGTTATTTAGTGTACCATAAATTTTGTTAATTTTTAATTAATGACAATCAAAAGAAAAAAGAATACAAAAGATGAATAACCAGAGCAAGTAAACTACACAAGAGAAAGTGAGATATACTTATATTCATTCGTTAACCTAAATCATTGAGTGAATTATGATACAAACTCTGAAGCGAAAATAATTCTTTGCACATAATTCCTATTATCAAAACCAATACATTTCTTCTCAACTTGTTCAAATCATAGTACAACAATTCTCTTTAACTAAACTTCTAAACACAATTTAAATGTTGACCCGCTAAGGGCTATTTTTCGTAGATTTCTTAGGTTAGGTTTCCTTTCTCTCTTTTTGATAATTTTTTCACAAACGATTCTTCATCCTTCTAAGTTGGTTATGCGCTTCTTGTCCACATTTTAAATTAAAGAAATTTAAGTGTGTGGTAAATGTAGAATTTTAATTACTTAATAATACAATTTTCCAATGGTACGTTTTGCAAAGTGAGTGGTAAAATCATTAAAATTGTTAATTATGACTTATTTGATGAATATGATTGTAATACTTTAGGTAACGTGGGACAATTTATTAAAAAGTTAATAATAACATTTTACTAATGAAATGACAAATAACTCTAGTACCCATGAAAACTAAAATATTTAATACATAAAATGAATTACAACATACATTTCGAGTAAAGTTATTTTCTATACGACTATACTGTATATTATTTGAGAGGTGATTTGTGAAAAAGGCTTATGTGTCATTTCCATATATATTCACTCTCACAAAAAAAAATATGACATTGTAATCCTCTAATATGACTTGCCAGTTTTTTTAACTTAATTAGTCATAAACTTACTTTAACTTACTTTCCAATGCTACTCCATAATTTTGGTTCTTCTTCTGAAAGTTGTAGTTTCTTTTATATGTTTATTAAATATTAATCATGTCAAGAATTATTATAACTTTTTGCTTTGTTTATATATGAATAAAAATATGAAGTGTTTTGTTTCATATAAAAAACACAATCCTATATTTTCATACTATTTTTTTTTAACATAGTAAATATATAGGATTGAGTAATGACCAAAAATCTGCTTTCTAAACTTCCATATGATCAAACATTATATGTGTTTTGATTAATATACATAAGCACAATAATAAATAACAATCGTGATTGGATGTGTTTGATTCAAACAATTTTTTTTACAACGTATTGTATAATTTAGATACTATTATTTAAAACCTATAAATTTTCGAACTCACAACATTTAAAGCCGAACTAAAATACATATAACATCATTCACAATTATTAACTACCAGCAATATTTTTCTCATATATTTCATATTTTAAATTAAACAATATATAATTAAAATCTATTGTTTTCGCTAACAACGTAAGAACCTATGAACAAAGGAATACAATTTTTTGAATACTTTGAAATTCGATTTCATAATGTGACATAGAACTTTTTGATAATTATTAAATTTAGATTCAATAAACTTTAGGTATTCAAAGATTTGTAATACATTAGTTAAATACATGAAAAATCAAAAGCTATTAATGTTGGTTTGTATTTAATTTTTATTTAAAATTTCGTAGTTAATGTAATAGGATTAATTTTAATCATAAAAACAGAAAACACATGTCAAACAGTAGATGACACATAGGAGTCTTTCATAACTTTGGTTTGAATAAATCTTACTAAACACCGTTGTGTGTTTATATAGTCATAATTCACAAGTTCTAGACAGTTCGACCAATTCTAGGTCCATGCCATCATCTAGCATTTGGAATGAAGACCGGGCCAAGATTTGGAATTTGGAATGAAGACTGAGCAAAGATTTGGACATGGATCCATGTCCAAATGATACAGAGTGGACGGACAAGTCGTCGAATTGACAGCTCTACCTAAGATAGCAATGATTCATCAACATTATTATACTTTAGAAAGTTGGCTTCCTGTATGAGCATCAACTGCGCTAAAACGATCACTGAGTAGATATATACCAGCATCCTGATAAACCGTTCTAGCAATCGGTATCCTCTGCTTCTTACCTCCACTCAGTGTTGGTGTCGTTCAAGCATAATGAAAGTGAGGAGATCCACTACAAAGTGGGAAGAGATTTGAGCAGCTTCTCAAGAATGGATCGTTTCCTTGTGAATCCTCCAGCACCAGTTCAGTTCATGACTAGCTATGATTCATCGGTTTATGTCGTGTGTGCTTCATCGCTAGCCAGAATGTGGAAGTATGATATGAGTAAATAACTTGTTGACGCTCTTCGATAGTGCACGACAATGCCAGTAAAAGTCGATTTCAGAATTGCTTGCATGGTTCAAGGGAAAATCTTTGTTGCTGGAATAACACACGATGATATGACCACTCTCTGCTTCTAGTTGTTTGATCTCAACTCTCAGAATTGGGACAAAGCCTGTATGCTCTAAACAACTTTCAAGGGAATCTGAAACTGGCCTTATCTATTGGGAATGTGGTATTCCTGTTAGGTCAATTTGAATCGTATTGTTTTTTTGATGGAAGTCTTCAGAGCTTTGCAATGTATTCGCATAATTGGAGTGATGCATGTGTTATGTACAATTGCTTGGTTGTCTTTTACTCGACGGGAATGATGTATTTCGACGAACACGGCGCTTATGGAGGAAAATTTCTAGATTAAGTGCGACTTTAAGATCGAGAAATCTTAGCAGAATGAAGCTCTCGGAGTTCAACGGAAGATTGGATTTCTTGTGGATTGAAGATGAACTTGGAGATGGTTGTACGAGTCTAGTGCGACACTGTGCGCTTAAGCATCAATCAAGCTGGAGAGTTCAAAGGCAGCGAAGCACTTATGAGCTGATGAGGAGTTTTTCAGTCATGGAAAAGATGGTCTCTCGCCACTTCTGAAATATGGTCTTGTCTTTCATCCTGGTATGTCGTCTTCTGAGGTATATTCATGATAACTATGTTGCTCCTTTTAATTCAGAATTCTTGTCATGTCAAAATTCATGTGATATCATCTTTGTCGGGTTTACTCG